TGCATTTCTTCAAGAATTGCTGGTTTAATTTAAACTGTTTTCTGGTATTTTATTATTTCCATCTTTAATCTTATGTCAGTAACATACTGTGGTGGCACGATTTACCAAGAATGCAGAAACAAGTTGGAATAAATGCACAGAAAGTCTGCGTGTATGGTCGTCAAATGATTTAATTTGAGCAACAACAGAGCAGAAGTCAGTCAGAGAAGTCTGTCAAGTTGTGGCTGGCTCGTCAGCGCAGAGCAGCCGATAATATAACATCCTGTGACATGCTTACAACCAATCACAGTTCGCCAACTGTGAACCATCTAACCAATGACAGGGCTGTCAGCCCGGAAACACCTTATCAAAATAAAAAGAGGTCATGCATTGCTGGAGTCTTGAATTCTAGGGCAACAGATTAAAACAGCCGAAACTAGTTATCATAAGATATGAGTACTGGACAGTGTCAAGGTAAAACAGATATAAATAATTAGTCCATAACACATTCAAAGAGACTATAACCTATTAATCTGCATTATAACTTTGTAACATGTGACAGGTTAAAACTGTGGGCAGACATTTAAAAAAATAGAACCAATAAAATGGCAATTAGTGGTTCGTTTATAGTGGACTCAAACTTCTCTGCAGTTAAAAGAAATAATGAATAAAAAAACCAAAATGTCACCTTAAGACAATTTTGGGTTCATTGGTTGTTTAATGCCATAGAGATTGTTGAGTAAAATGTATTTGTGAGAAATGCTATTAGAGTATATGTGGCTCACAAACATAATGAGGGCATTTTAATGATCATAAACTGAATTCCTACATTTCATATGTGGTTAATTATGCTCGGTGCTGAAAAGCAGGAGCTGATTTTGGTCTTAACTCGTTCTTTAGTTTCATCAAGTGTATTTTTGTCCATTTTTGGAGTTGTAGAGGAAACACAGCAGCTTTTATTATCTGATAAAAATGCCTATAAGAGACATACAGGAAAGTGTGACTCGTCACTGATAATTTTAGGCTTATTTCCCACTGCGGTAATACAGAATATCCTCTTTGAAACTGTAATCATTTACATCACAGAGAAACATTGCGAGTCATTGTTTATAAGTCACATAATTCTGCTGCCCTCTCAAAGGATCTTGGGCCAAACGAGCAGAGCACTGAAGTGCAGGAAATGGAAAGGGGCGGCATTTTGAAGTTTATTAGTGGAGTCTGCAAATAATAAAGTGATCCAAAAATAATAAACGTTCCATTTCTGAAGCCAACAATGTAAATTTTAGGAAGAGATTCCCACACTGACAACTGTCATTATGTCGTTTTCCTTTCAGCCGCTCCCTTCTGCAGGGGTCGCCACAGCGAGCGAACTCGCATGAAAGATTTGGTCATTATTTTATACCAGATGCTCTTCTTGACACAACCTGGGCTCTGAGCAGTCTACAAGAAAGGACAGAGCAGACTGTTATTCTTGAATAAGCTGAGAACCTTCAATGTCTGCAGCAAGATGCTGCAGATCTTCTATAAGTCTGTTGTTGAGAGTGTAATCTCTTCTGCATCATCTGTTGGGGCAGCAGCATCAGAGCCAGGGACATAAAAAGGCTAAACAACTTGATAAAGAAGACTGGTTCTGTTCTTGGGACGACTGTGGAACCTCTGGAGATGATGGTGCATAAAAGGATTTTACAAAAAATCAAGAACATTGTGGACAACCCTGACCATCCTCTTCATGAGGCTGTTGTAGTGTTTTCAGTCGAGAAGATCCTTCCTGCCACAGCCATCAGCATCTACAATAAATCGTTAAATGAGTTACAACACCTAATTTCCCTCTGGGATCAATGAAGTATTTTTGAATTTGAATTTTATTTGAATTTGAACCTGCAGCCTCAAGAATACAAGCCTGAAGCAATGATCAAAAAGGAACGAATTTCATTTAACAAATGAATTGATAAAAAGAGTGTTTCTTTTCTTCTGTTTATCTAAATTTATGCAGAACTTTAGTTTCGCTGGTTGCAATGTTCCACCTCCTCACCAAAGTACAAAAGTCACATTAAAATATGATTAGGTGCAAAAAGGGAGTACAAACTTAGAAAGACAAAAAAAAAAAAAAAAGAAATAAAGAAAAAAGAAGGTGCTGTCTGCCACCTTGTGTTGACAACCTATATTACAAAACACTGAATATTTTTTAAATTTATTTAAAACCGTATAAATTATTTAAATCATAACTTGCTCAAGAAGTCATCTGGTGAAAAGCAGTATGAACCTGGACAGGTCATCAGTCCAACACAGGGTAACAATGAGTCTCACACCTTTAAAATCTCCAGTATTTGACAGTTTTCTGACCAGAAGGAAACCAGAGTGCCTGGAAAAAAAACCCATGCATGAGTATAAAACTGGTCATATTTGTCCCCTTTTTTGTGGATTTTATGTGCAAAATTCAAATGTCATTGGACTTTAAACAGATGCAGCAGGGAAACTATATTTTCTTTATCAATTCTTTATATATACTGTATATATACATATATACATATGTGTGTGTGTGTGTGTGTGTGTGTG